CACAGGCATTGCACCCCCGTGACACTGCCTGCCCTGGACATATTTCAGCTAGTTGTCACTCTCTATCGTATTTACTGTTTTAGAAAGAGCTGTGTGTGTGCAGTGACTCTATCTCTGTTGTATTCTGTTTTTACCCTCAGCACCCCTGTCACTGTCAGGTGAGTGTTTTCCAGTCCTGGCCTTATGGGACAAGTCAGCAGATTTCTACACTGTTGACCTCCTTCTTGATCCACCCTTGGCTTCCCTGACATCTCGCTCTCTGTACTGTTCTGACATTGTAAGCAGGAAGTGACATAATGAAGGTGCTCACAAAATTGTCAAGAGGGCTGGAGGAGAAGGCTCCAGGCCAGGCTCTCCAGAAAGGTCCCTCACTACAGGCTGAGCCAGGCAGCCAGGCTGCCACTAGGCAGCCACCACCTCTGAGGATGCACTGGAACTGGAGACTTCAAGACACGCCCCTTGCTTTTGATCCAGGGAGCAGGAAGCTGATTACTGCTTCTCATGTCATTGACCACACAACAATTAACTGGCTCTTGGTATCTAAGAAGCTGGTGAGTGGACACTGGAATGCTGTTAAGAAAACCCCTCAAGTCTCTTGTCTTAACAGGAAAACAGCCAGAAGGGACAGAATTATAGCCCCTGTCTCACTTCTAATTTCAAATATCACATGAGCATATCTCACTAGGTGAACCTATTTCGTGAGCAGAATCCTAGCTGCAAAGGCGTTAGCTTCCGCAATGTAGGAAGCCACCCCTGAAAGAAGCTGGAATGGGGCTGCCTGAACCATCCACAGTATTAACCACGTCCTGGTTTTCCTAGCTCCCCTCCTACCTCTCTGGCCACTCCTCTTCCACCCATGCTAACTCATTCCACTTAAAGAGATATTTAAAAGTTGCAGTTTCCTGAGAATTAGTACAAGGCTCTGGTTGTTTCTCCATCCGTATTAGTAACCTCATCCATGCCCATGACTTCGATCACCATGCATGCTTAAGACTCCGAGGTTCAGTTTTCAGCCCAGAGCTGCTCCTTCTGAGCTTGAACCAGAACATCCTATTGCTTATTCAACATTTTCCCAAGAATGTCTCAAAGACATCTTACATCAAACTGTCTCGTGATCTTCCCTCCCCTGCACCCCAACATCAGAATTTGGTCCTCCCTCATGTCCTCTCTCTGCATGAATGGCATCATCATTCATCCACCTGCACATCCACCTGAAGAAGGAGAGCTATCCCTCACTGTCTCACTTTCCCTTACCACCCTGTACCTAACCAACAACTGATTGGTTACTGATTCTACAACCCAAATGTCTCTCAAATCCATCCATGTTTTTCTCCAACTCCACTGCGTCTACCCTAGCCCAAGGCAGCAACCTTTGCAATACCACCCCCTGTAATGGCACGCTCTGTCTTCTGGTTATAGCAATAATGTCCACAGATCTTTCTGTATGCCTTCTTACCCCCTCTAATCCCATCTCCATGTTACAGGCAAGAGATCTTTTGAAGATCGCTCATATCACTCCATTGTTTCAACCCTTTGACGGTTTCATCTTTTTTGTGGTAAGGACTCAAATCCTTAAGATGGCTTAAAACAATCTGCAGAACCTGGATTTTCAGCTTCATCTCCTGCAGCTCACTACCTGCTTTCTTCACTGAAGGAAATTGGCCTTTCTTCAACAATTTGGAAGGACCCATGCTCTTATCAGTGCAGGCTTTCCATGTGCTGTTCCCTTTGCCTGGAATATCCATCATCCTTTAACACATACTTCTTATTGCTCCCTACAGGAGACCATCTCCAAACCCTCAACCCAGTTCCTTCTGGTCACTGTCGTAAGTACCCTAGACTTCTCATTCCTAATATTTACCACAATTCAAATAAAGTACTTGAATAGCGAGTTATTTCACATCTGTCTCTCCTGCTTGAATGTAAGTCTACAAGGGCAGGGACCATGTCTGTTGGCTCACTGATAATCACGAGTACCTGCCACAGTGCCAGGCACATAGCAGTAACTTAACATTTAACATCATAACACTGTTGGACCCAGGCACTATTCTAAGCTTTTCATGTGTAGCAACTCATTTAATCCTTGTAACAAACCTAGGATGTAGGTATTATTATTATTCTCATTTTACATATGTGTTATAAAACAGGCACAGGGAGGTGAAGTAAGTTGCTAAGATCACATAGTGGAAAATGGGTCTCGAACCCAGCAGTTCAGATCCAAAGCCTACTCTCTTACTGAATACACCTAACTTTTCTAATATTTATTGAAAACATGTCTGTTTTACTGAATTGAATTACTCAGAGAATTGCTCATAATCAAAGTTATAAATATAGAGCACTTATATTGTAAAGTTTAACATGTTTATGGAGAAGAAGATGAGTATACAGTACTTTGATATCATTTGTACTTGAAACTCATTTTTTTAATTTTTGCCAAACCCATAAGAGATAACCTGTCTAAAGGTGAATACTATTGGTGATTCAAATAGGTTGAAATAATATTCAAGGCCTTTGTACCTCTCAGACTTGTGATAATTTGGTAGCTAGATATGCTTAAGAGTATAGTTTTTTTTTGCTAATACTTTGAGACCTTTCTGTGCTCCATTAATCAATCCAAAAACAGCAAACAGAATGAACATTAGGTCTCATGGTCACCATTCCTAGCTTAATTGTTAAAAAATGGAATAAGTCAATTACATTTTAAATTGTTGCCTTGATCACTGTGGGTTGTCATTTTATTATGGCATTGGGAAGAGCAAAAATTCACAGAACTTTCCCCTTCGTAGTTTAGCTCTATTACTGACATGAGATGCTCTCATCTGTGTTTTCATTTCTATATTTAACAATGAAAGTTACACTTGCCAACTCTTACAAAGTTGTTCTGAGTAGGGTGTGATGATGTTTGTAAAGTTCTCTGAACTGCCAGAAGAAAGGTACTAATAAATACCAAAGAACAAACCACTTAAATAGTGCACTATTTGATGAGGGGTAGATGATTCAGGAAGACTCTGAGTCATTATTAATGCAATGCTCTAAAATAGTAATAGGGGAATTAATCCCAAGATGTTTCATATATACTTAGAATACCAGATTTTTAAATTCCGACATATTTTAAGACTATACCCATATAATTTTTGAAGCAATATCGAGAAGAGAAAAACAGTTGTTTCCAATGATAGATGATTTAAATGGGCAGAGGTTGCTTAATGACATCAACAGGGAAACTAGAATACATGCAGGGCAGGCTTCCCATTAAACCTCTGGTGAATGGGCAACCATTGTCCTATAAGAGAGTGACTAGGAACTTTTTGCGATTGCTATCCGGCTAATTGGCTGTCTGCACACTGGGCATTCCCAAATGTTTTCTGGTAAGAGAAGTATCCATCCAGCTGTGGAGGGGCCAGTTCAGCCAAGGCCAGCTTGTCCATAGAAAAGAGGTCTTAGGCAGGCAAAAAAAAAATAGTTGTTTTTGAGGGCTTTTAGGGTTATCAATTCACAACTAAACATATGTGGGACACCATATTGTGGACTGTCAATCTTAACCTATTTTAAAAAAAAGCAACTTTAAGCTCCTCTTTAATAACATACAATTTTTTGTATTCCCCTTTTAATGATAATTGACATTTCAAAATAAATTTTGTGAATAAAAAGAAATCAAAGGAAAGGTAAACTTAGAATATGCTTGTCAAACTATTTAAGCACTCCCACCCTCCCAGGTTCTTCGTGCTGAAGATACATTCCTCTGGTGTGGCACAATCTTCTGTGAATGCTAGGTTAGCTATTCTGGAGAGCTATTCCTGGACGGGCTCTGATGCCTAGATTGCACATGAAAACCTAGACTTTGTGCCTACGCCTAGACTGTTTCATTTGTCTCTTTTATTTTTAAGACAAACTGTGCTCCTCCATGGCAGTAGCATCGATATGTCCTTTGTTTCGTGGTGTTTCTTAGGGATTTAAATTCAAGCAGTATCATAAAATACAATAAAGGTTTATTTACAGCACTTTTGTTTCGTTTGATGTTCCTGTCCTCGGCTATCCTGCAATCTCAGCAACTTTGCTGCTGGGATTTTTCTTATTTGGTTCAGTTTACTACAGGCTAACATAAGCGATGCAGATGAAATTCCTTTCTAATATGTGAACGTGGCAACTGTTTTGGTTTGGGTCTATCATTAATCAAGACTGAAAAATAGATTGCAGCAACTGAATTCAGTGCTGTAGATTTTGACCTTTATTCCTAGCTTATGTGTGCCTTGTCAGATTTCCCCTACGATGCGTTTCCTTCTAAAACGAGGTGTGTTCCCTCATCTGATTTTGCATCACTAGAGAGAATTCAGGAAGGAGAGGCTGGATTGGTATAAGACAGCGGATTCAGCGTAGAGCTGAATTACAACAGAATTACAGAACAAACTGCGGAATCTCTGCCTGTTTTCCACAGCGTAGATTTTATATTTCTAACATGGAGACCTAAGGTCAGCCTTCGAAAGTATCGTTCCTTTATTAGCGCAAACGAGACGCTCTCTGACAGCCAAAATGAGTGTCAGCAGACCCCACCCCACTGGCCTCCAACGGACCTAATTCTCGTTCCCGCCCACAAACAGCCGCTACTACAGTTCCCAGCAAGCACCGCGCGGGTCCGCAAAAAATCAGGCCCTCGGCGGAGGCCCCGCCCCCAGAGAGCATGCTGGGAGTTGTAGTGAGCAGGCCCTTCCCCACTACTACTTCTTCCTTCCATTAGCCACTCCTACTTGGAAGATGGTGATACACTGCCATAGCAGCTTCTCTAGTCTCGCACTCGGAGCTCAGCGTGACAGAGGATTGACCCTCTTGCCCTGTGCTGCGCGCCGCATCGGTCCCAGAGCTTTGCTCCGCCCCCTGTCCACACCCGTTCCCTTGACAGCTCGGCTGTGCTCGGAGCCGGGGAGAGGCCGAGAGTGCGCAGGCGCACCAGCTCCGCGCCGCGGAGGCAGGCCTGGAGGGCGGGACGAGCGCGAGGGGCTCCCGGCCGCCGGGGCGCGCACGTAGGCACGCAGAGGCCATCACGTGGGGCGCTGAGGATCGCAGTGCGCGTGGCCGTGGCGGCTGGTGTGGGGTTGAGTCAGTTGTGAGACCCAGAGCTGCTGACCCAGCGGGCGGCCCACCGAGCCGGCGACACAGTGGCAGGCGTCGAGGCTCGGGAGACGTGAGCGTGGCCCAGTCCTAGAGCTTCGCAGAGCCGGCGCCGCCGTCGCCCCCGCCTCCAGCCAGCAAACCGCCGCCGCGGGCGCGCCCCCGCTCAGCGCTGTCTCTCCGATGGCGTCCGCAGCCGGGGCCATGGCGAAGCACGAGCAGATCCTGGTCCTCGACCCGCCCACAGACCTCAAATTCAAAGGTAGGCAGGACGAGGACACCTCCGGAGCGGGCTGGGGCAAGCGCTGGGCTCGAGGGCTGGCGGGAGGGCGGCGGGTGCTGCGGGCACGTCGGAGGCCCTGGCCCGAGGGAGTGTCCCCTCCCCCACGTCCCGGCACTTTCCATTTTCCGGCTGCTCCCTCGCCGCCTCCGCTCGGCCTGCCTGCCCCTGTCTCCGGCCCGCGCCCGCCTGCGCCCGCCCGCGCCTCGGTGCGCGCGCCGGCCCGGGCGAAGCGGAGGGGAGCCGGGCCCTGGCGCCGCCGCCATCTTGCGGTCCCGCGGGGGCGCCTCCCGGGAGTCCGGCCCGCGGTCCCGCCCGCGCCGCAGTCCGCCCGGCGCGCGTCCTTGGCCGCCACGGGCCGACGGCGTGCTTGGGAGGGCGTGGGTGGGTGGTGACCTGGGAGCGTGCGCTCCGGTCTGCGGCGGAGAGGGGGTCTGGAGGTGGCGCAAACTGCGTCCGTCGCTCCCCCGCCACTGTCAGCGAGGGGGGAGGTGAGGGCGCGGCGCGGCGGCCCTTGGACCCGATTGCTAGTGAGAACCATCCCTCGGCCGCCCTCTGGCTCGGGGGAGAGCTGGGTGGAGCCGGCCCTCGGTCCCGGCGGAGGGTGTTGCTCCTTACCTTCTCACCCAGTTTGTGATTGGGCTGTCAGGTATATGGAGCGCTGGGGGCGCGGAGAAGCCCACGGAGTGTCTGGTTGTGACTTACCCGGTTATGCTGGCCGAGCCCCAAGCGCGTGCGGGCTGGAGAGCTATGCGTCAGCCTCGGCATGGGTAGTTGTAGGTTAATAGTAGTGGGTCTTCCTGTTTTTCTGATAGTGACATTTCAGTTTGCCATCGCGTACGGCAGAGCTGGTGTTTGCTCTAATTTTAGCCCTTTAGTTTAGCTGTTTGGCGGAGGAGTCATCAATGTTTGTGACTTTTGCCTTTACGTTTGCGGTTTCCCAACAAACCCTGAGAAGGCTGATAAGGTGTCACCCAGCCCTGGAACTCCGTTGATTTATTTTATAGCACTGCCTGTGATACATTTTAAGTCTGACTTGGTGATTCTTGAAGAATCCCAGAGGCTGTTCGGTCCATTTGCTTTTCAGTATGTAGGCCACTTCAGGGAAGAAAGTTAAAACAACATGTTTTTATTTTTTAGTATTTTTTTAATTAAGGAATACTGAAAGAGTGTGAAGATCCAAGTAGAAAGCAGGTTCATTGCTTTCTTTAGTTAAGTGTGAAGTAAATCCCCTTTTGGAAGTCCGTGTCTTGTATTTCAATTTCAGTAGCTGCAATGAGAACAGTTTCTGTGAGGTGTATAGCAATTCCAGTGCTAAAAGAAAACGTTAAAACTTTCATTGTTGTTTAAGGTTGAGTCCCAAAGAAAAACTACATTGTTTTTCATAGGAAAAACTTTAGTTTTAGGAATTTAAAAAATATATTCTGGCATTATAAGAGTAATAGTTTATAGCCCCTTTGCAGACCTTTTAGTGCATTTACAAATTTCTTTGAATGGAAATATACATGAGCTGCTTCTTAGGTAAGGATTTGGTTTTAAGACTACTCTAAGAAGTATTTCGAGGTGCAGCGAGTGCATTTTTATTGCAAGTTTTATGTGTGTTGCATGATTTTACATTGTTTGAGCCGAAGGGAGCATCCTTTGAGAAATTATGAAATTCCCTAACTCAAATAGCCATTCTCTTAAGTCGAAAAAATTAAATATAAATCTTTATGATGTGTGGATTTTTTTTTTTTTGAGTGTTTTGCTTTTACCTTTTGACAGGCTGAGTTTACAGAGAAAATTGCTTCTACTGGGTAGCCAGTAGAGGAAATTGCCATTAGAGACTTGAAAGCCTTTAAAACGAGTTTTAGGCTGGGAAATGTCCACAGAGTTTGGAGGTTTCTCCCTAGGGAAGTTGTGATGTTGCCATAGTAAGAAATTAATAATAGTGGAGAAGCAGGTTTTTATAAAAGAACCAAAAACCCTACACAGTGACATATCCATATATTTCACTTATTTTGGGTATTGAAGAATTATAGCTATGATTATAGAGTAGGTGGTTCTTGTATTTCCAGTGAATATAATGAAGAGCTCTGAGACTAGTGAGGGAGACAGAAAAGGCATATAGATGGTGTAATAGAGAAAGCAATGCCTGGGGAAAGAAGCCCTTTCTTCCCCCACCTCCCCCCAAAAAACCTCTCCCCTTTAGGAAGCCTCAAAGGAAAAGGCTTGTTTTCAATTTCAGGAGTGGTTTGGGCAAAGGGCATAGTTAAGTAAACACACTGATTTGAGAGAATGCATGTTACTTCGATGTCCAGTATTTTGTTGTGTGCCTCTGTTTAAAGGTGAAGGTATGGAGGATTGGGAGTGAGAAGGATGAATAGCAGGTGACATTTGGTGTTTGATTTCTTCCTCCTGAATGTTAACTCTTTCAGTCAAAGGTAAATAGTTCGCTTTTATGGAAACCTCTCTGTATTTAATGCATAGCTCAACACTCAGGAAACATTTAGAATCTGCAGCCTACTTGTGCTTAGTTTGATGATATAAAAAAATCATTTAACTGACTTGTCCTAAATCACCCAAAACTTTTAGTTTAAGTGAAGTTCTGTTAAATCATAGTTTTGCAAAATTCTTTGTCGTCTTCTAATAGGTTCATTTTATTTTAATTCTACATTTGACTAAGATGGTTTCTCCAGGAGTGACTCATTTAATCATTCTGGGATTGGATGGTTATTCTTTTATACACCTACAGCTTATATACATTTTATATACAACTTGAGGAATTATCAGCCCTTTGCACAGTTTTGAAGGAGATAACCAGTTCAGTATATTCTTCTATATACCTCAATATTTTATTCAAAAAATTTACTGTTCTATACAGTTGTTAATATATAAAAGTGCTTTTATGATGTACTGAGTTTCGAAGTAGTTCTTTTGTTGTGTTAGTAAAGAAAAAGAGTTAGATACCTCTTTTTTTCAAATTCTGTTTAAACCCGGGCAGTAATTTGACCTAGATTTCAGATCTGAAATCCAGTGTTTTATGTGGTAAACTTTTTTTTCTTACAATTTTTACATTATGAAATTTCTTCTTTTGTATTATACAACAGTGTATTTTTCCTACCTTTTAGCAGTTTTGGAGGAAAGTTTGAAGAAGAAAGTTAAGAAAATGCTAAAATAAATTCTGAATATATTCTTAATGATCAAGGAGAGAAGAAAGTAAACCAAAATCAGTGTGTTGAAGGTGGCCCCTAACAATAACAGATCAATAAAGAAAATTAAGCTCTCTGAGGGACCAAGGGACCTGTGGTGTCAGCATCAGTTAGTGAATCTTTGAATAGCAGCATATCTCTAAGAAGCAGCACAAGTAAGAGTATAGACTCCTACTTTTGCTGGATATTTAGCACATTTTTGGTCTTTCCAGTCAGGTCCTCCTTTTTAACAGTGGCTGTACCAAATCCCTGGGTTAATACTCCTGACTCCCCTAAAACATAACTGTCATCTTATTATTCCATTCCTTAAAAGTTTTCAAGTAGCTCTCAATTGCTCGCGTGGTAAATGTATTTTTAAAAAACAATTTTTAAGTGTGGCATACAATCCTTTCCTTGATGTGCTGCCTTCACTCCTCTTGTAACACCTGTTCATCTGCACACATCCATACTTTCTTCCCTGAGAAAGAAAAACCCTTCTTATATCCAAGGTTCTTTTTGTTCCTCTATTTTTGCTGGCTAAGGTAAAATCCCTCATGACTCATACTTAGACCATGTTCCATCAGATGTTTTTCCTCATGTTTTCAACCACTGGCTTCTTCCTTTTAACATATAAATACCCCAAAGTCTTTGATTTTATAAACAAATAAGGAAACAAAATACTTCTTGACCTTCAACTCCTACCAGTACATGTCTCTCCTGTCTTTGATTTCCTTTGCATTCAGACTTCTTGGAAACATAGTTTATATTCACTGTTTCTGTAGTTCCTCATCTCTGTTCACTCCTCAGTCTGCTATAGTTCTCTTTCCATCCTCACTACTTACTGATTGCCAACTGCATTGATAATTTCTAATTTTATCTCACTTGACCACTTTTTGGCAGTTGATATTACTTGACAGTTATTCTCTTTAAAAACTCAGTTCTTTTAACTTCATTGTCTTCTAATTTTCTTCCTTGCTCCCTTTATTGTCTTATTTATGGCCTTCTTTTTCTTAAATGCTGATGTTTCTGGGATTCTGATTTGGTTTCATTTTTATCTCTGACCTTTCTTTGTTCAGTCTCATTGTTTTCTCTTCCTTGCTCTCTCTCTGCATTGTATTGTCACACACCCAAAGCTGTATTTTAATTCAGATTTGACAGTCAAGAACCACATGTTCTAACAATTTGTTGACTATTTGGATTCGAGTGTTCCGCAGACAGCTCAAACTCAACATATCCCAAACTGGTTTTTTACCACCCAAGGCTACTTTTCTTCCATGCTTCTTATTTTTATTTTTTAATGACATTATAGTTACTCATACCAGAACCACTCTGCACATCATATAATTAAAATCTGTTGCTGAGATTCCTAAAATAGAGACAAAAAAAGTTTATCCTTTTGAGATAATCTCGACTCTATCCCCTTTAATTCATCTCTACTTACAATTTCATTTATTTTTAAAACTCATTTAATTATGAGTCTAATTATCTAGTATACTTACATTAGATTTGAGTGTTTCTGCTATATGTCAGGTATGATGAATAAGTATTGGAACTACATTTGTGAATAAAACAAGATCTTCGTTTTCATGGGGCAATTCTGATGGGAGAGATAAACACAAGTCAGATACTCAGAAGAGTGAAATGTAGCTTTGAAGAAGTATGTAGTGCTATGAGGATGTAAGATAGGGAACTTTGATCTGGCCGTCATGGTTGAACTAAGGTTCCAAGAATGAGTAGATGTTACCCAGGTGAAGGAGAAAGGAAAATTCATGTTAAAAGATCCTGTGGCAGAAGAGGACATGAAACAGTTACAAGACTGAAAGAGGTTAATGTGGCAGTAGTGGAAATAGCCAAGATGAGTGTAGTGCTGGTTTGGTGGATCAAAGTAGGAGTTTGTTTTATCCTAAGCCACTGAGAGATTGTGCATGTATGTATGTGTGTGGGGGCAGCGGGCGTGGAGTGACATGACATTTGCATTAAAAAAAAATCTGGTAGCAGTGTAAAATAAGATTAGAGAGGACGAAGATGAATTAGGCAGCTGCAGCAGTCCTGGCAAGCTGTGACCATTTGGCTGAGATGATGGTGTTGGAGGTGATGAAAAGTTAGAAGGTCAGATCAATGAGACTTGGTGGTCTATTAGATATGTGCACTGAGAGAATAGAGTATCCTGGATGTCTCTTAGATTTCTGCTTACTTAACTGGAGGAATGGTGGTCCTATTAATTGAGCTAAGAAACAGTGGATGTCTGGATGAGGACCAAATGTTTTATTTGGGGGTGTGTGGGAGAGGAGTAGGAGGAAGATCCTAATCGTTATGGTAGATATGGTTAGGTTCTTTCAAGATATTAATGAGGAGGTGCCAAGTAGGCATAGTTGTATGGGTGTGTTGGTCAAGGAGAGGTCTGGGCTTTGGATAAATTCCTTATTTCACGTGATTATCTTTGATCTATTTTCCAGCAGTCAGCAGACTGGTCTCCTTTTGTTTAATGTCATCTCTTCAACCTGTTTTCTCCACTGGTACTGAAACTACCCTTTAAAAAAGGCAAATATGATATTGTTGCTCCTTTGCTTAAAGAACCCGAAATGTTTTCCCATCATGTG